CCCTCTGTAGAATGTTATTCAAATGATGAAACTAACAATAAAATATTTACTGCAATCAAGCCATGATTAACCCAGCACTATTGGTATACAAATGACCCTTTTGCGTTTCTCAAAGAAATTCACATTCAGTACTGGATTGTGAATGTTTCGTACTCTATCCAATAAATACACATTATCATGCATCATTTTTAAACAACGTCAAAGCATTGGGGAATACCATATAATAGCAGTAATAGTTGAATTACCTTGTCCAATGACATGTATAATATCTAAAACGACACCATCAATGGATGGGTAGACAAGAACTTCCTCAACTTCAAATCGAAGATCTTCATCTAAAGTATCGAGCAGCCTCGCTTTTGTGGTATCTAGGAAATTACAAACACTCATTAATATGTTTATTATATTATCTTTTTAAACTAGTTACATTAAAATATTGTCCCACACAGCTGGAAGAAGCAATCTACACACAGCAGAATATCTTACCAATGGAGTCAAAATTTGCATACACATGTTCAACAATTTCTTCGTAATCCTGAGGTTCAAAAGTCTGTAGTTCTTTACTAGCTTCTGTTCGCACATGTTCATGTTTTCTTTTACGGATTACAATTACTAGCGATGCTGCTATTGTCAAGATAACAATTACAGCAACAGTAGGTGGAACTACCCACATCAACCAGTCTGATTCACTACTTCCTATGGTAGGACACTACAATACAATTATACATTATTACGATATAGATGTTATTGCAGCTACTGATTAACTACACTGATTCTGATCTAAAATACTTATTTTTTAGATATACTTTCGATAGGTATTGCATCACATTCATATTAATATGTTTGATGTTGGTTACCCGCAAATAATATATATAATGTTGTGTGCATGTAATGTGAGGTTGCTAGGTAACTGACCATCTCCTAACTCAAAGCTCGTTTGCTGACGATACAATGTATTGTTTTAAGAACTGTAGGAATCTGAAAGGTTTTTGCCGATAGTTTGAGACATTCATCAAATGGCTTTTATATTTTATTTATTATTTATTTTATTATTATATTTTTCTAATCCTCTCACCCTCATCTCAACAATATGCGACATTCGGTCACCCACTCTAACGCTAAGCAACTTCTCGTATCGTGAAGTTTATATAATTCTCCTTAAATTAATTGTTCTGTGTACTCTATATCATTATTGTTAAGTGACATTGTATTACCAGTATTGTGACATTGACAGTTGTTGTTCCATTGAGAATGTCATCTGATGTGTATTGTACTTCATTATAAGCTTCTATCATTACCACCAGATTTTCACCCACATTCTCAGTAGACTCATATGATGAAAAATATACATTGCCAGTCATTGCATCCACAGTGAACAAATTATAGTCGGTATGACTATCGGGAATTATTGCGTAACGCACGGCAGCATTATCCATTGCATCCATGTCATTTGCCTGTACATGAAAAATTCGTTTGACCAATCATACAAAAAGTGCATTCATACACAAATGTATTTAGGCCAGACTTTTTTATTTCTTGTTTCTCGAGTTTTTATAAGTCAATTTTTTTGAGGAGGGCGGAAAAAAATAAAATTCATTCTTTTTTTTCATTAAATTTGTCTGATTCTCAAAGAATTGTAAATAAGATCATTGATCGGAGAGAAGAAAAGAAAAAAAAAATCAATGTATAATCTGGTTGGCAGTTTTCAGCATTAATGAGAATTTCTCGGTTTTTGACGACAGAGTTTCACGGCGTGTCACCACAAACCACGCCGCCGCCATGTTCGCCAAGTAGTCTAAAGCAGCACGCAGAGAGGTCAATGCCCGAGATTCACTGTCAACCAACGCGCATAAAGTATTGATCTATCTGCGCGAGACTGTCGCTACTTTGATCAAGATACTCCCATGAACATGAATCTTGGATTTATTAGGCGGCATGCAGAAAAAAATGAAGATATACATATTTCATTTAGCAATTTTTTGCACTCTCGAGTCGGCGGGCGCGAGAAATTACGCTGAAATAACATTTTATTTGTATTTCATTTTCGGCTCCTGTTCATTCGGCGGGTTCGCGAAACAAGGGATAATAAAAGTCTGGCCTTATGAATACGTAGTTCTACCGGATAATAACAATAAATGATTGCCACAAGTTTAACGTCAAAAGGTAAAACTAGTGTTACTCTGTACCATGATTAAGACTTTGGTATATATACCCGAGAATTATCAAGCGACTAAAGTAAATAATTGTTAGCAAACATTTTATTTATTACACTATTTTTTTAACGTCATCACTCAAGATTACTTGCAATACATAACATTGTGACCCTATAGCAATAAATTAATGTTTTTGGAATTTGATGAAGGTTATATTTAAATGACTATGGTCGTACATGCGCAAAATATGGCTACAATTAACAAAGATGATGACATATTAACTAGGTAATGAGATGATTGAAATGCATTGAATGACACTAAGGGGCCAGCTTCTGTATTTAGTGCACATCGCGACCCAATCGAAACTCACAGTCATGCCTGGCACTAGCAGAGCGTTTTGCGTGATAGGCAAATTACTCTTTAATAACACAACACAACACACGCCTACGCGTGCACGACAATGACATAGTTGTTCCTATAATATTGGATGAAAAGAGGGCAGATAGCTACCAAAGACAAGTGTATATTTTTACCTTCACTGAAAGGATGAATATTTCTGGCATGTATTCAACCACCGTGGCTCGATAAGTATTTAATTCAAACTCTGGTGGATTGTCATTGACATCAGTGAGGGTAACTGTCACATATGTTTCCCCAGAACGAGGACTTCGACCGTGATCAGTTGCCACAATATATACTTCATATGTTTCTTTATGTTCCCTGTCAAGACCTCTCCGTGTTGTCACTTTTCCAGTTATGTTATGAACTGCAAAATCACTAGAACGAGATTTAAACATTATTTGTGACAGTTTTCTATCCTAAATAATTGTGGATGTGAAAATAGTACGTGTGCGGTACTAACTATTCACATATTGTTTTTTACAGCAGCGTTTCGTCTTATCAAATGTAATTCTGGATAATAATTAATTAACCATTTGACAAGTGCATATATTATTAGCAACATATATATATATATCTATTGAGATTGATATACAGAATGCAGATACATATATACAGATATACAAACGAAAGCTTTTTAATTAGCGCCTGATATAACGTCCTGTAGATGTAGGACTTGTGGCCAATGACCGTGTGGTATACAAAGTTTATTGCTCTTCAAATTATTGTCGGTTAATCTCATTTTCCTGATTTTGGCTGGGTATGATTTTTTTATTCGTTTAACTTCGATTCACACCTTTTGAAAATTTAGCATTTATAGAATATAACTAGATAAAGAACATTACTGGTGATGTTATTTGTTGTAAAGCTGGTTTTATGTAGCAACAATGCAATATCAAATACTGTCAGTGTATATTATATTGGTAGAACTCATTTCAGAATTAATCTTACGCACTTTACTAGTCTGTCAACTACTGTAAATGTACAGTCTGCATTAATTCCATAGTCTACGTCTGTCGCCTGTAAAACAAAAAATGTAAGTTAAAAAAGAATTGAAGATCGAACACAAAGCCACATTACCAATCGGCATGTATCGTTATGTTTGAAGACAAGGAGTTCAATGAAAAGAGAATATTAGTAACTACACAAAAGTAAAACCAACACGCCTATTCAATCAAGTCATTATATGTCTGATTATATAGTACTACTGGGACATACCCTGACATAAGTAACCACAAAACCTGCCTCCTCCTCCGGAACCATTACATTATACTCCAACGCAGTTACTACAGGATCATTATCATTAATGTCAGTAACAACGACTGATAGAACAGTTGTATCATTCTGTAAAAGATTAACAGCAAACTATGGTCGTCAATAACGATGGTCAATGAGGTAATTATTTGAATAACAATCAGTCGTACGATAACAAATTAATGACTTGAGATGGCATTTTTCAAACACTTCTGTCACACTAATATTGGTAATACATTACGTACGCTGTCCGGATTCCCGTCATGTACTAGTAACATCAAACTATGTTTTTCGACATTCTCTCGGTCCAGTTTTCTATTTAAAAATATCTCCCCACTGTTAACATAAATATAATATCATTCACTATCTTATTTTAATCAATGTAATATTTACTAGACATTTTTTGAGATAAACCACAATATATGATATAACCAGTGAGTGCATAGCACAATATTTACTCACGTGTTTGGCGAAATTCGAAAGATTCCATCATTTGTCACAACAAACCCATTACCAAACGTAAAGGTAAGATCATCTCCATCTACATCAACAGCCTGGTGGTATGGTAGGTAGATCAATTACAGATCAATACGATAAATTTATATTAAATGCATTTCGAGGTGGTGACAAATCATACAATAAGCAGTAAGAATTCGAACTTATATTAATGCTATATATACTGTATAGATCTAAGGAAAACTGGACAAAGATAAATTGAACAAATTTAAATCATGACTATATACAAACCATTGCTCTGTATATGGATGCTCCAGCATCAGAACCTTCACTGGTTATCGCGTTGTATGGGTCGTTGAGAAATACGGGTATTTCACTGGCATTATTGGTATAGTTGGTAGCATGGATAATATCGGTAATATTGACATAAACTTTAGAAAGGTCGGACCTAAAAAGTAAAAAAAAAATGATATAATGTTATAGTTCAATTATAAATATTTCTTGAACTTGTTATTGTTGTGTGGCCTGATATTAGTTGTTCCATATTGTTTTTGCTGTATTCGATTTACACTGAGCAAATATTTTTCATTCCCATTTAGTTTC